CAAAGAAAGAAACAAAAAAACAAGTAGATACGCCAAACGCATCTGGACGCCGTTCAACGACGATATCGACTACGACGAAGGCTTCGATACGTAGTCCTCGCCGCTCTCTTCGTACGCAAAGCATTCGTCTGCTTGGGAGAGGCGACGGTGACGGTGAGATCGGTAGAATGAGATTGAACAATAATTTCCTGATTTGACGATGAATCGTTTCCGGCAGTCATTTGATGAACAGCCTTCATGCAATATTTCGGGCAAATCCAACGGCCACTGGGCAACTCTGAAAGCCCCACGCAAAACGTATGGTAGCCGCGATCGCATTTGTCGCAGAAAAGCATCTTGTCCTAAACAACGAGCGATTACAATACGCTTGCTAGGAACGTGCTTCTATATTTTACGTGCTAACTAATATCAGAATGCTAGGTATGCAGATTTTCGGTTCTGCGAAAAAAAATTCCCCCTTGCATCTTGTCAGCCATCTCAACTGAACAAGAATTATCAGAAATTTTTCTGGAATTCATGTCTGCTAAGTTTTGAAAACTATGGCAAAGTTAATAATAGCTCTTGACCACGATTATTTTCACGATACTATGAAATAGTACACTGCGACTGCGTCAGTATTAATATTTTTAAGGTACAGTTACCTGAAGAAGACTAACACTGGTTCGGTCAAAATATCGTATATCATAGTGTCAAGAGAGAAAAAGTTGTTGAAAGCCACAGTGAACTCTACCATAATATATCATTCAGCAGCAAAACTGTGGAAAATACTGAAAAGAATCTTACAACTCAGCGGTTAGAGGTACAAACTGAATTGAAAGACTTTGACAAGAATAAGTTTCGGACAACACATCCAGTGATGTTTGCGCTGATGACAGACTTTGACACCATCTGTTGCTGAAAATTAAGAAATGAGATTATAACGATATTTGATTTGCATTAAAACTGCATCTGACTAAATCATGAGGCAATTACTGTAGAAACTGCTTAAGATTACTGAAATATGAACTTTCTAACATACTAGCAGACATCCATAACATTACATGGACAGGAGAGTGAAAGCTCGCCTGCCCGCTCAAAACCACAGCCTGATGTAAAGACTGCATTCCTACGTTTTAATACTTTCCTTACTGACGTATGGGATGCAGCATCAAAATATCTGAACTGGATCTGGTTTTATCGTGAGAGTATAGTAAAGCCTTGCTGAGGGAGAGTCGGCTTAGAACTTCACGATTGACGATCGAGGACAGAAACAAAAAAACGAATCCGTTCTCGAATCTTAACCTGGAAAATAGTATTTCTGTAATGGACAAAGGGAATAGGGTATGATTATCATGGCAACCTCCACAAACTATAATTCATGCTCTCATGATGCTACTGTCTATGTAGCGAAACACGTCGGCAGCAAACTGCTGTACCATCTGTAGTGTTTGGTGCCCTAAACCATGAATCGTTCAAATACATACCTATAAACAAAACCTATAGATTAACTTCAGTGTCTCCAAACATGGAATCAGTGTAATTTATCACCGGTAGCGAAATTCTAAGGACACCGAATTTACTTAAGCAGCGTGATCGATGCCAGCCTTCTTATTTAAACTGGATGAAGAAATCTGACAAAGAGACCTTTTTGCAGTTAAAGTAAAGACTTGCTCTTAAATGACTCCTGAAATGGACTGTGAATGAGACATTCGCGATGACCACCTTTAAGAACGACATGTCTAGAAGAAGAAAGCTGTAACCTAACACTCAAAATTAAAATAATGGAAGCCACAATTAACACTTAACTGCTTAAGACCATGACGACATCCTATTATTTTGTATTACTTTCTGTGAAAAGAAGATAGCATTATACTGTAATTACATATGATGACCGCCTTATAGACAAATGCGCACTATTTTTTAAACTAAAAATTCTGATTTGCAAGCATAAAGAGGACAGAAATAATGAAAAGACTTCATGCATGCCTTACATAAAGCACATAATCATAATGCATATCCCATCAAACAAATGTATTGCATAAACTATCAGCTTCAAATCAGGCTGAAAAATATCTAAAACTCGATTAGCAAAATCGCAAAACGGTAGCGAAATGCCCTTAGTCTGAAGTCGACGCTTCAGTCAGTCTGGGAGCAGGGGCAAGTTTGCCTCAATTTGAAGAACAAATTTCGATTCTCCAGTCAACACAGCTTTAGAGTCGCACAAATATGCGGGATTTCTGAGCGCGTCAACGTAGCATCTCAAGAGGGACAAAAACAATAGGAGATAATTATTATTCACAAATGTACAGCATACAATGTCGTACAAGGGAGCCACGACTGGTCCTAACAACCGTGTTCAAAGAAATAACATTAACTTTCGTTGAAGAGGGTTGTTAGGTGAAGCAAGAACTTGACCCCTTGCGAGAAGGTGTGCTTGTGTTTGTGAATAAAGCCTTTTCAAATGACGCTTTCCGCGGCGAAAAGTACTTTAAGCAAACAAAACTAGCTTGAATATGAAAAAATGGACCTCTTCGTCTAACTGGGAACAGAAGGAACATGGTTTACATTCCATGCACATCCAACGATAAGTCTTGATAGTTGCGTACATTTCGTCCGTCATCTGCATACAAGTAGGATGTCCTAAAATCAACATTTCAGAAAAACGATGACAAATTTTGTATCAATTTCTGTGAATTGTTAGAACACGAATAAAGCAATTATTAGAGTCTTTACTTGATTCATACTATACTCCAATAAATAATTTTAAGAGGAAGCTCGTAAATCAAGTGATAGTCTTCTGACTCTAAACGCCAGAACGGGTTCGAACCAAAAAAAGAACATTCATAGCTAATCCATCTCTACGTTGAAAAAGTCCGTCATACACCGGCCAAAAGATAGGTGCTAGTTAATTATCAGACTGATGGTTCGCGTTGTGCATAAAGAAACTATTCTATGCTGTTTTCATCAGAGAATAAATTATTACATTAAACTACTATATTAATGGTAAATAAAACTTGTCCCTCAGTAGCAATTGTACATGCTGCACCAAACAATTGCATTTACTCCATGATAGCTTAAGTACGAACAAACTAATGAATTTGCATTGAACCTATGTACCCTCAAAGAGAGTTAAACAGTATTTAAACAAACGCAGAGACAAAAAAAGAAAGGTACCGCAGCTTCCGCACTTGCTGCATTGTACAAATCGATCGCCAGCGTACAGATCTTCACGGCAGAACGCGCAGTATTCCCCAATGTCCTGGACGCAAAAGAAAAGCACAAACGTTATTGGAAGAAACGTTGTTTTGGCAGCGCATATATGCAAAATTCGTTGTTATCTTTAATTACGAATCATGAACATGAAAAACAATAACAAAAATGCCGTGATCTAAAAAACCATCGCGGCGGCCATACATAATGATGATAACAGTAATTATGATAGGGGTTGTGTTGCGCAGCGATACGAAACATTAACAAATGAAGGAAGCAGAATTAAACTTAGCGCATCGCTTTGTAAAACACACCGGGTGTGATGTGTACACAGACAGACCCACGGGCAGCTGGCCAACTAGCCAGCCACCTCAGCCTCAGCAGTTTTATTTTCACTTATCAGAAGGTATTCAGAAGAAACATCGTGCAATTAAGTCACGTCAGTCAAACGTCATCAACATTTTTCTGATTGGAAGATGTGGAAGACGGCAAACATTCAGGGAATCTCTAAAAAAGAATGTTTACATCTACAGCCATCCAATGAAAAAGAACTTCAGTACCAGTGACGCTGCTTTAACGCCACAAACAAAACCCGTTTAATGCTATGAAGTGTGCACATGTCTGTAGAACACGGATGTTAGCAGTAATCAACATCATGAAACGAAAATCGTCAAACATTCAGCCAAAACAGCAATCAGCAACGATCGCTTACCTCGCCCCTGCTGTCTTCCGCTCCGATATCCGAAGAAGACGATACTTTCCGTATTTTAGTCCTCGAACCGACGTGCTTCAGAGAAGGTGGGGCGATGTCCTCTTTTAAATCCAACTAAATATAAAACAACCTATCAGATGCGACTCAAAATATCCGTCTTCTAGGTTCATGGTATTATGTTAAATTTTAATTCAACGCTTTTCCTTAAAAGAACCAAGCCATTATATAATCAGGTAACACAGTAGATAGATAGATATCAGTGCTTTAGTACAACTAATACGGAGCAGATCTCCAGGATCAGCTGTTTTTGTGAAATCTGGCTAACTTTGTTGAAGCAGCACAGTTTTGATTGCATAATAAGAGAAAGATGAAGAATCTATTGCTTCGACCACGACCTACGACAAAAGGCAAGCGAATGGTCAGCAGTTAAATTCATAGTACATCGAAAGCACGCTGGAAAAGGTCGATGGACAAGTCGAAGAATTCAATATCGAAAACTATCATGCAGGAATCGACGACACAGCACGATTTCACTTGCTGTCTCAAACAAACTCTGCGATCGCAATATTAATATCGATCTTACAACGCTTGATTACTTCGATCACCCTTAGTTTCTCACAGTAATGAGATGAACATATTCAATGTATCATTTCTAGGCCAAAGTACATTTTTCATAATGCCACTTCGACCGAAACTAAATGAATCAAAACATAAACAGTGAAACTGAATTCAGGAATCAACGAGTACCGACACAAGGCGATCCTTAAGCTTTGTGGCATTAATTTAAACTACGCTTGCGCCAAACAACACCAGCCATTATGAAGATCAGTTACTGTTCATAAAAAAAAGCTCGCCTGCGAGTGAATAAAGAATCTTTAATCATATTATGTTCATTGCTTACCTGAAGTTCGCTCGGATGAACAGTTATTGGAGGAGGAGAACGAGAAGCGGCATTTGGAAAGTAGTCTTCAGCTCTAATAACGGTGTTCAAGGGCAAAGCGAATAGCTCTTCAGTAGAGTACCTACAGATAGGATGCAAAAACAAAACTTTAACAAATTTAAGAAAAACAGCATACTTCTTGAAGTAGCTGTTGAACTGCCCTTCAAGGATAGTGGCCGGATACGGATCAACGACAGGATTTTCCACGCAAACCGTAGGAGGCCTCGGCCGCTGGACGACCATCGTTTGAATATCGAAAAAGCATCGCTTTCCTCGGTTTCTTTCCCTACACAGTTCCGAGTTCCATTCCGCAACCGAATGCATGACCCTCTCACGGAGCTCTGCATATTTCGAGCTGTCAGCTTTTATCTATAAGAAACGACTGCATCGGGCATAACAAATTGGCTGACAATTACGGCTTGGTATTCTAGCTGTTTCGCAGCAAATTCCTGTCGATGTTTCTCTGTGATGAATTTCTGGTATTCCTGAAACAGCGGACCTTCAGTAAACAATTCAGCAACTGAGTTAAAAGTTCAAACTTTAAAAATTTTAGTTATATTTTCTATAAAAATATGCCTATCAGTTAAGAAAGTCCCAAACAAAACGAAAGAGAACAGGGAAAAAATGAATATAATCTTTGAATTTTAAGATGCAACATCAAACAGCTTTGAATAGTAGGTAATTTCTGGCAAGAGTTCACAGGACGAATTACGAACGTTTCTGGAGTTGAGTATGACAAACAAACGAACAAGTCGTAAGTGAATCAAGTAGGAAAACTAACTGAAATAGTGCCAAACTTACTTGAACAATCAAACATAGTAAACATTGCCTGACTGCCTACCGGTCGCACTCAAAGTCTCAAAAGTTTTGTAACTTTTGAGGGATACCATTCCTTTTTACATTGGATGCTATGTGCGGCATTCTTCGTTTACGGAATTTATGAGGCAGCACAAATCTTCGTTTCCTCTATCAGTCAAGAGTGTCTTATTATTATGTTTAAACTATACCTTCAGCCAGATGACCAATACAGCGTGCAGTTTCTTGGTTCCTTCCCACAAAGCGACATTCATTTATCTATTACAGAAAAATGAAAACATCGAACGCAGGATTTTGCAACTGTGACTAAAGGGTCTGTATTGGCGCAAAGCTCAGAACCAAATGCATTTAAGTGTACCTACACACTTTCTTTGTCGCTGTGAGTTTCGGTTAAATGAAACATCTGGACTTTCCGCATTTTTCGCATGCACATTTGCTTACATGCCAAGAGAAACCTACACAAACCCTGAGTACCGTGTGCCTTTGTACCTCCTGCTAGCTGTCTCCCTATGTTTGTCTGCACAAACTAGTCAAGAAAATAAAAATA